AGGGGGAGGGCTGTGGCCGGCGCTAGGCTGTGCGAGGAGCCGGCGAGTGGGGGGGCATCGTATCTTCGGGGCGGATGGAGGTGCCCAGCGGGGCCTGGCGTCGGGAGCGGGGCGGCAGGCGTGCTCACCCCACTGCGTGCTCCCCTTTGCTCTCAGGGTAGCAGACAGGTGCCGGAGAAATCCCTGAAAATTTCGTCTACACTGTATGTTGGCAACCTGTCTTTCTACACCACCGAGGAGCAGATCCAGGAGCTCTTCTCCAAGTGTGGAGACGTCAAGAGGATTGTCATGGGGCTGGACAAGATCAAGAAAACCCCCTGTGGCTTCTGCTTTGTCGAGTATCCTTTCTGGTTCCCTGCTACTGTGAGCCCGTGTGCGGTTGCCACCTTTAGTTCCTCTCTGCACACAGCAAGCTTAGCTGTGCTGCTGTGGAAAACCTGAAAACGAGTGATAGTCAAGTGCTTTCTACCAGGCACTTCAGTCCCAACCTTGCTACTTCACCACCACCACCACCTTTAATGATTTTAGGGCCATAATGAGAACTGTTATAATCGTCAGCTCCTCTGTGTCCAGAGCACATGTTCACTTTCTCACCTTAACTTCACAGCTGAATGAAGTAGCAGAATAAGCCATGGCAGTATTCCCAAGCACAGGGTACACACTTGTACAAGTTGTACTGTGAGCTGTCTTTGCGAAGCTCTCCTGTGAGGCCTGCCTGTCTTGTCCAAATTCAGTCAAGTTTTCAGTCAAGTTTCACATAGTATAAAAAGGCATATTACAGATTCCTTGCCCTTAGGAAGGCTTTAACATGTTTGTTTCATCTCCTTGTGAAATAAGTTGTCCAAGGCTATTTCTTGTCTGTGCAGATACTAACTTTAAAGTTCAGAATCCTTTCTGAGTGGGAGCTGGTTTTAGCTTGGATTTATATCAGCACAGGTTTTGATTCCATAGAGAAGAGCAGAAGGAGTAGAAAAGGATGGAAGGCAGGGTTTTTCTGCTTCTTAAATAGAGTAGTTCTCTATTTTCCCTGTACCCAGTAAAATAGCACTCTTAGTTTTCCTTATAGTGTGCTTCAGATACTACACAAGAGCAGACGCGGAACATGCAATGCGATTTATCAATGGCACACGTCTAGATGACCGCATCATTCGAACAGACTGGGATGCGGGGTTTAAGGAGGGGCGACAGTATGGAAGAGGAAAGACTGGAGGACAGGTAAAAGCAATACCAGTTCATACCTTGAAATTGATCCCCCTGCTGTGTACTGCTTTGCTAGTTTTGTCTCATGCAAAACAATGTGTAGACTGTAAAGACCTGATAATGAACTTTAGCCACTCCCAGGTTGTTTTGGTAACTGATGCATGATGTTAAAAGCTAGAAATAGAACTTAAGGCTGCTTCTGTGTAGGACTCCAAACTTCCTGCAATGCAAGCAGAATGTTCCCTAATCCAATCTAGTACTCTTAAAATGATGCAGAATTTGAATGGAGGGGGACAGCGTAGCTGCTAGGCCAGTCTCATAATGCAACTGTTTGCCCCAGCACAATGATGAAGTTCCTTTGCAGATTTCCAGGGTAGAGGGGAGGAAATGTTCTGGAGGCCAATTCAGAAAGCTGGACTGCAAAGCTGAATGAAATTATTTTGGGGTCTTCTTTACTTCTTGTCTAAAAAGACCCCAGCTATCAGATATATCCTCATTTGTCTTTTTCACTACCATTACCACCATTTTGGTGGATTATATGAAGAAATTCCAAATGAGTTAAAGTGTTTCTAACCTGAACTTCAGTTCCCCCCCAACGGAGCAAGGAGGGGATGATGATTCTGAAGTTTAGCAAGAGACAGGCGGTGCAGAGTACTAATATCTGTTTTCCTGCTGTGCCCCAGGTGCGAGATGAGTACCGGACAGACTATGATGTGGGAAGAGGTGGCTTTGGCAAGATCATTCAGATGCAGAAGGCAAATCATCAGCCTGCAATCTATTAATTGCCTCGTGGGTCCTAGCTCATAGAGGGCTCTGTCCTTTCAGAACTAGCCCTGTTTTCTCGCATTTTGGATTGGGGTAGGGAGTGAGATCCAAGTTCCAGCAAAAGGTGACCCTCCTTAGACTGTGGATATACATGTATTCATTCCCGCTTCTTTCTGGGCTAGAGACAATGTTCTGTGTTGATACAGGGCAACAAGGGAAAAAAATGGACAGCTCTGCAAGATTCTGGGTAAGAAGAAATGCAGCATGTCACACACACCTCATGCTATGACATACAACTCTTCACGTTGCAGCTAGGCAGGTGTCTTCCTCCAAGCTATGACTGCAGCCATGGTTGCTCTCAAATGGAACTTCTTAAAAGCTTACTGCCATGAGAGCCCTCCAGGTGCCTGGGCGCTTTGTGGGGATGCACAAGAGATTTCTAATTTACAGGCTCATCTGCTTACAAAGCAGTATCACTGTTTGGATGAGAGAAGTGGAACAAGGTCTTACCATACACTTGGAGGTGCTTGTCTGCACATCTAGCCCTTGGGTTGTTCAGGGCCTGCAGAGCATTTCTCTTTATGATGCCCCCAGTGCTGCCTGGTTTTTTGGATCCTCGCTGTTCAGCATGATTTTGTTAAAAGTTTATTTTACTTTTTTTAAATAAACAGTTGTATTGGGTCTGGCTGAGATGGAGTTAATTTTCCCCCTAACAGCCCTCATAGTGCTGTGCTTTATATTGATGGCTAGAAAAGTGTTGATAACACACCAGTGTTTGGGCTACTGCTGAGCAGCACTCCCACAGCATCAAAGCTGTGTCTCCAGTGTTTCTGCCCACCTGGGGGTGGGCAAGATCTTGGGAGGGGACAGAGCCAGGACAGCTGACCCAAACTGCATCCTACTTGGGATTGATGTGGGCGGTTTTATTATGCAGGCTCCCAAGGTCCTTGTTCACCCTTATGTGAGCTGTTTTATACTACTAATTAACACTGTTGGCATATTATGGGGTTTGTGGAATCTGGCGTTGTCCTGGTGTAAGAGAAGACAACTTTTGGATGAGACAATACTGAAATGTGCCCTGACATGGCCAGTCCCTGGGTGGCAGGGTGTGTGGAAGGATTTGGGCAGGTGCCTAGGGCAGTTATCACCTTCCATAGCCTGGGACTTTATACCTGAACAGGCAAGTAACCCTGATGCACCTCCTGATAGAAGGGTGCCTTGCCTACCCCAATGAAAACCAGCAGCTTCTATCCACTGTACTGGGGCTTGGCCTGTGCCTGCCAAGCCACAGTTCAGTACTGTCAGTGGACAAGGAGGTCAACAGGTCCATATCATCGATTAGTAAGGGAGGAGGAAGAAGAGGAGGGGTTTGATCAAGAAGCGGGTCCTTTGGCAAAGAAATTGGAGGAAGGAGTGAGAGAATTCAGACAAGAAGCAGAAACTACCCGGTCTCTGACCTCATCAGGACTTCAAGACACAGAAAGATTACTGCTGACAGCCAGGTGAGTGGATTGCTGCCCGGCTGCTCCAATGCTGGGATAATAGGGCCAACAGCATTTGGAAGTTAGGGAAGCCCAACAGCTGGGATCCCTTGCTAGAAACGAGGGAATTGAGAGAGGAATTGGAAAAGAGGCGGCAATTCGCAGTTTCTGGAGACAGCTCTTCTCAAGTGTGAGGGCAAGGTACCAATTCAAGGAAGATCCTGTGAACTCTCCAGGAAAGCGGACTACTGCAGATCCAGTACCTGAGAGAATTAGTGGTGCTGGAAGTCATCTACAGTGATCTAGACAATGATCAGGTCTACAGAGATCCAGAGGACATGTTGTGCACATGGGCCATGTGGAGGACGCTGATTCAAAGTGCTCCAGCATCATATTCTAACAGCTTGGCAATGATGTTTTGCCCAGATACGGATACACCAACTGTGGAGAGAGTGTCTTCTTGGATCCAAAACTTGGAAGAAAATCTCTGTCCCTCCTCATCCCTATGGGCCAGTGCCTTGGCTGTCAGGGGCACCCCAAGAAGTCACTCCCCTCCTGCCCTGGTCAGAGGGAAAGGGAGCCCCAGGCGCAGGCCATGTGGCACACTCTGGTTCTTCCTGTGTGACTGGGGGAGGACATGAGGGAGTGGAACGGTGAACTCACCTTTAAGCTGGAAGCCTGTGTACACAAACCAAGAGGGAAGACAGTTGTTAAGAAGGGCCCCTCAAGAAGGCTGTCAGCTTTGTTTCTATAGAGACACAAGGAGGCAATTGGCAATCTCCCAGACATAGGACTGAGATCACCTCCCTTGAACTGGGTGAGGGGACTTCTGGTCTGGCACTGAAAGGGTTAGACAGTGAATACTCTGAGCAGGAACAGGGATAGAGGGTCCTTGCTTTCAGCCAGGAGGAGGAAAGGCATGATTGAGTATATTGGACTGTGGATTTGATGGCATGGCACATCAGACCCACAGAGGTATAAGGCTTTGGTAGACACTGGTGCACAGTGTACGCTGGTACCAGGGTACAGGGGCACAGAGCCCATCTGGATCTCTGGAGTGACAGGGAGATGCCACGAATTGTCTGTATTGCAGGCTGAGGTGAGCCTAACAGGATAAGCGGCAAAAGCACCCTATTGTGACCAGCCCAGTGGCTTGTTGTACCCTTGGTATAGACTGCCTCAGGGGAGGGTACTTCAAGGACTCAAAAGGGTATAAATAGGATTTTGGTGTAGCCTCTGTAAACACAGAGAAGATCAGGCAGCTATCTATTCTGCTTGACCTCTCAGATGATCCTTCATTGTGGGATTGCTGCGAGTTGAAGAACAGCAGGTGCCAATTGCTGCCAGGATGGTGCACCAGTGGCAATATCACATGAACTCCCTGGCTCCTATCCATTAGTTGATTCATCAACTGTAGAGCCAAGGAGTGATCAGCAAGACTCACTCACCCTTTATTATAGTCCCATATGGCTGGTGCAAAAGTCTGATGGAGGGTGGAGGTTAACAGTAGACTCTTGTGGCCAGAACGAAGTCATGCAACCACTGAGTGCTGCTGTACTAGACAGGTTAGAGCTCCAGTATAAACTAGAGTCAAAGGTGGCCAAGTGGTATGCTGCAATTGATGTTGCCAGTATGTTTTTTTTCAATTCCTTTGGCAGCAGAATGCAGGCTGCAGTTTGCTTTCACGTGGAAGGGTGTCCAATACATCTGGAGCTGACTGCCCCATGGGTGGAAACACGGCCTTAGCATTTGTCGTGTACTAATCCAAACTGCATTGAAAAAGGGTAATGCCTGTAAAGCTCTACAATACATCAATGACCATCGTATGGGGCGAAAAGGCAGAAAAAGTGTTTGAGAAGGAAAAAAGTAATTCAGATTTTTCTGAAAGCTGGTTTCACCATAAAAAGAAGCAAGGTCAAGGGACCTGCATGGGAGATTCAGTTCTTGGAAATAAAATGGCAGGATGGATGCCATCATCCAACCTTAATGATTCTATGATCATGTCCCTATGGATGTGATCAACAAGATAGTAACTATGTCTCCACTAGCTAACAAGAAGGAAACACTAGCTTTCTAGAACTTGTGAGATTCTGGAGAATTCGTGTTCCAGGTTATAGTCAGCTCATGAGCACTCAACAAGCCTTTGAGCATTATCAAACAGGAGATAGCTTGTATGGTAGCTCTTGGGCCTGTCCAGACGGGATCAGCTGTGCAAATGTACTCTACGCTGGGGAGCATGATCTCACCTGGAGCCTCTGGCAGAAAACATCAGGAGAAACCCAAGGTCGACCACTAGGGTTTTCAGCCGACAGTATCATGGATCAAAAGCCCGCTACACCCTAAATGAAAGAGATACTAGCAGCATATGAGGTGATTTGAGCTGCTTCAGGAGTTGTTGGTACAGAAGCATACTTCATCTTGGCACCATGAGGGGGATGAGATAATGCATTGACACTAAAAGGGGGCACAAGTCTCGCCATGTTTGTCTTGGCTTCTGTCTTGGTGTTGCCTTTCCTCCTCTTCTGTTTTGCAGTAACTGATGGCTAATGTCAGAAGGAAATTGCTTATAAAGTGTACAGCTGCTCTGAATAAGACAAGTCCTTATGTTTCACATCAGCAGGTTCTAGGAGAACTTCCCCTATCCTGTCACCTGTTCCAAAATCAGAGGAATGTATAAAGCAAACCAAAGGCCCAGTGTGCACTTCAGAGAGGAAGGAACCAGGAACTCCCTTCCCTGTGTTTGTGACAGGCTTTCATCCCATTTTCAGAAGAGCATAGCTGACACTCTCTGACCTGTTCTTACGGTTCAAGCAAGGGACCAGAGGAGATGAAAACTCTTTTTGATCCGTGTCCAAGAACCTCTCAGCTAGGGCAGGTAATTCCATTGAACAAGTTAAATTCTGTCTGTAAATTGGGTTTGTATTATGCAAATAATAGCAGCTGCTCCCTGCCCAGTAATGTGTAATCATGATTTTTCATGCATTATCTCATCCAAGATAATAGAAACTGTTGCACACCCATCTGCAGATCAGGCATACAGTTTAAATTTGTTTAACACTCACGTTACCTTGAAGTCTTGGTGTGTTACATTTAGTTCCTTGAAATGTCTCCTACCTGTTTTTTTCCAAGTCAGGTTGCTGTACCTGTACAACTGTCACAAGTCTTGAAGGAACTGCATGTTTAGTCTTCAGTAGGTTTTTAAGCAATGACAGCATTGAGAAGCCTGTGATGGGGGCTGCCCCTGAGATGCAGTGAAAAGGAGCAGGACATTGACTTAGGAGCAAAAAAACAAGCAGTCATCTGTCCAGCCTGGCAAAGCAGCACCAGCGTGAGGTCCCACGTGAATTACAGAGGGAATAATTGCCTGGTCAAACAAAGCAGGGAAAAGGGAAAACTTAAGAAAGATGGGAAGAGGTATCAGCCATGAAACTCTAGGATTAGCAAAGGAATCTCTTGTGTATGAGGTAGGAAAACATAAGGCAAGCTTTCAGTTTGCTCCTGGAAGAGCCTGGTGTGGCCTGTTGGACTCATTGGTTCTATGTATGTGACAGAACATGCAGAAATCTGTTCAGTCAGATGCCTGGGCTGTTTTATGACTGCAGAAGGCATCAGTCCCTATTTTTGCAAGATACTGTGATTTCAGCTCTCCACGGATCTCCCTGTCCCACTCACTTCGGTCTGAAAGAAGAGTGTCACCTTCAGCAAGTCCCAAACCAGGACTAGCAATCTCTGCACCGTTCCTTTCAACATAGCATTTGCAAAGAGATTTGTGCTGATTTTCCTTCTACAACAATCACAGACAGAACCAAAGAGAGATGAGAAAGTTCACAAGTCCGTAGGTGCTCCCAGCTCTGGGGTCATGCTGCCGCATGTGGGTACCCACGTGGCACCATGCTGCATCAGTCAGAAGTGTCCTTGCCAAGAGCGTTCCCAAACACGGTGACTGCCAGGGTCCTGGAGTAGCTCCTTCTGACACGGTCGGGCTCCTGCCTGTGGCCCACTGTGCCCAGAAGACTCGGGCTCCAGGGCTGCCTTTCAGACACCTTTCATCAGCATGCAGGTACTGTTAGCAGAGAAAACCCTTTGTCTTCACGTTGCTGCGGTAATGCCAAGACGGGCAGTGCAGCCAACAGACCAAGAGACCTGATAAGACCCAAGAGAAACCTACAGCTCAGCAGCAAGGATAAATCTGCCTCTTGTGTCA